GCTACTCATTATAATGACAAATATCTTAGAAGCCAATAAGTGTTTCCACACATTGTTCTGGATCCATGGCTTGGATTGGGAATGGTTAGTGGCTTGGGGGACATCATGCAATGGAAGGGATAGTGCCAGTCTGTTGTGGCAAGGGTGTGTTAATTGTTTGGTTAGTGGCCTACATCCTAAGATAGATGTCCTAGAAGATACAGGTAAGTTTTCTAACACAGGTGGTCTCAGATGGTATGTTCTATTTAAGTAGAAGATGTTGAAAACATTATGATATAATATAGACTCACACTGTAAACCTGTTTGGGCAGGAAAAAGCAGCAGCATTACAGATGTAATTCTAGGTGTGACTACAGAAAAAATTATTACACTCATCATATTTATGATCTCATGCATTGCTTTCCTTTTTCTCCTCCTCTCTTCCTCATCACTCCACTCCTCCACCCCAACGCCCTCTCCCATGCTGGATGTTAGACACCTTCCTGTGAATTTACATGGTACATTGCAAGGGAAAGAGTCAGTTATATTTTTTTAAAGTGTCTTTTAGGTTATCTTCATCCCAGGGATCTATCCACTGTCCCATATAGTAAGAGATAAGAGTTTAGAAAGTAATTGATAATAGGATAATTAGTTGTGAGTATTCTTACTGTATTTTCTATTTGGGGGAGGAAGTGAGCTGGGTGTTTTTTCTTTTTCTTTTTTATTTGAAGAATGAATTTGAACCCAGAAATATAGACTTTGTTTTAGAATATGTAACTGTTCGTTATGTTATAGGGAGATGTATAATAGAATTTCACACCACGTAAATTCAAAGTGCATTTAGAAGAATGAAGAAATAGTGAGAGGATAGAGTAGGAGTTGGATAAATTCTCTAAAATGCAAGAATTTCAGACTTTTTGAAATGCCATAATCTTTGGAGGCTAGGCAATAGTGTACTTTATACCTGTAAGGGTATTTTATGATTTAAGAACAATTTTCACATGTGATTCTTCAACCTTGGTTTTATCGGGCAGGCATGAGATGGTGCTTGTTCCAGGATTGTCAAGAGGTTCTGTAGGTTCTGTAGGATAAAAATATTGCCCCAATCATACTATAGTCTATAGGTGGGAGAGCTGGACCTGGGTCTTAGGTCTTACAATTTCTGTAAAAAAATACCTGAGAAAACTAACTTACAAAGAGGAAAGCTTTATTTTGACTCAGGGTTCCAGTCCCTGATTAGGTGGACACATTGCTTTCAGGTTTCTGGTGGGGGTGCCTATGGCAATGTCAAGGAATTTGTGGTAGAGCAAAATTGTTTACCTCATGACCAGGAAGTAAAAAAGAGAAAGAGGAAGAGACTGGGGTCTCACAGCTCCCTTCAAGATGTAATGTTAAAGTGTTATGTGTGTTTGCAGCAACCAAATTTGGCAGGTCAGATCTAATAATTAATAAAGACACTCTCTTTATGCAAGATAGCATTTATTTTAGCAATAACATGAAAGGTAAGAGAGAAAGAGAAGAAAAATATATCATCATATTGGAGAAACACCAACACTTGAAGTCATGTAGCTGGAGAACCCCAGAGCAGTTTTACATAGCCCCAACTATAGTAATAGTTGGCCTGAAGTCTTATTCCAAGTGGGGCTTTTTAAATACAAGTTAGAATGAAGAAATCTCCTTTATAACAGCCTGCATGATCTAGTGATCCCCTCAAGGACACTTCATCCCCCCAAGGGCTGGCCAGATCCCAGAAGGGAAGGAGTGTTTGCCTTGAGATAAGTGAATGTCTCTGAGTTCCTCTGAGTGAGTCAAACTCATCAAGAAGTCTGCATTCTTTAGATTTGCATGGTAGGTACAAGAACTAGGAAGATCTCTTAATATTTTCCTTAGCCCTTTATAAAGAGAATGCACCCAATGACCTAAAGACCTTCTACTTGGTCCCACCTCCTAATAGCACCACCCTAGAGACCAAGTCTTTAATAGAGGAGCCTTTGAGATACATTTAAGATTCAAATGATAGCACGGATCCAGGGCACTTTCTTTTTTTTTTTTTTATTGGTTGTTCAAAACATTACAAAGCTCTTGACATATCATATTTCATACATTAGATTCAAGTTGGTTATGAACTCCCAATTTTACCCCAAATACAGATTGCAGAATCACATCGGTTACACATCCACATTTTTACATAATGCCCTATTAGTAACTGTTGTATTCTGCTACCTTTCCTATCCTCTACTATCCCCCTCCCCTCCCCTCCCATCTTCTCTCTCTACCCCATCTACTGTAATTCATATCTCTCCTTGTTTATTTTCCCATTCCCCTCACAACCTCTTATATGTAATTTTGTATAACAATGAGCGTCTCCCTCCATTACCATGCAATTTCCCTTTTCTCTCCCTTTCCTTCCCACCTCATGTATCTGTTTAATGTTAATCTTTTCTTCCTGCTCTTCCTCCCTGCTCTGTTCTTAGTTGCTCTCATTATATCAAAGAAGACATTTGGTATTTGTTTTTTAGGGATTGGCTAGCTGCACTTAGCATAATCTGCTCTAGTGCCATCCATTTCCCTGCAAATTCCATGATTTTGTCATTTTTAGTGCTGCGTAATACTCCATGGTGTATAAATGCCACTTTTTTTTTTATCCATTCATCTATTGAAGGGCATCTGGGTTGGTTCCACAGTCTAGCAATTGTGAATTGTGCTGCTATGAACATCGATGTAGCAGTATCCCTGTAGCACGCTCTTTTAAGGTCTTCAGGGAATAGTCCGAGAAGGGCAATAGCTGGGTCAAGTGGTGGTTCCATTCCCAGCTTTCCCAGGAATCTCCATACTGCTTTCCAAATTGGCCGCACCAGTTTGCAGTCCCACCAGCAATGTACAAGAGTACCCTTTTCCCCACATCCTCGCCAGCATTTGTTGTTGTTTGACTTCATAATGGCTGCCAATCTTACTGGAGTGAGATGGTATCTTAGGGTGGTTTTGATTTGCATTTCTCTGACTGCTAGAGATGGTGAGCATTTTTTCATGTACTTGTTGATTGATTGTATGTCCTCCTCTGAGAGGTGTCTGTTCAGGTCAAGTTTCATGTTGTCTTAAACTATGACCCTAAGATCTAGTAAAGCATTGTGCTACAGGACACAAGAGCGTCTCAAACCCTAATGTCTGGCACCACAGTTCTGTGGAAGTGGGCAACACAGCAAATATCACAACACCTATTATAACTGTGATCTGGAATACCTCCCAAAGTCTCATGTGTTGAAGGCTTGACCCCAGCTGTTGGGGCTGAGAGGTGGTGTAAGCTTTAGAAGGTAGGGCCTCGTTGAACTTGGGGTCACTAAGGTGGACCTTTGAAGAGTGCATCTTGCCCTTGGTCTCTTCCTCTCCTCCCTCCGCTGCCTCTCACTCTTTCTCTCTCTCTCTCTGTTCTCTCTTCCTTTGTCTTCTCTTCCTCCCTTCTGGCACCTTTGCTCTGCCACACCTACCACAATGTTCTGCTTCGCTACAGATTGAAACCCCTGAATCTGAGCCAAAATAAGCATTTCCTCCTTTAGGATGTGTTTTCTCAAGTGTTTTCCACAGTGATAGAAAGGTGACACAGCTTGCAGAGTTGTTCCTGCTCAGCAGCCTTTATCAGCAGTATTTTAAATCTAGGATTTCACTGTTGTAGTTATCCAAGTAATTCAGGCCAAAGACTTAGAAACAAAACAAACACAGTGCCCATTTTAAAGAGAAAGGGTATAAATTTGCCAAATAGATAAAAGATATTTTAACTAGGGGGTTCAAAAGTGAATTGCTGTATAACAAATGACTTGAAGTATACATGAAAATCCCAAGGACTTATGCATATCATAATTGTTGCCACTCTCAAAAGGTGATTTATAAACTAGCTAATGGGTTAAAAAAAAAAAAGCAGAGTACAGAAAATCACAAACTTATGGCGTTTATGACTCTAATTTTTTAACAGCATACCTAAGCCACAGAGAATACCTTTGCACATGTCAGGCAAATGTTCTACCATTGAACTATATCCTCAATCCCCTTTTTTTGTTCTTGAGACAGAAACTAAATTGTCCAGGCTGGTTTCGAACTTGTTAACCTCTTGCCTCATCTCCTGAGAAGTTAGAATTTTGTGCATGTATTACTGTGCCCAGCAATATACCTAAGTTTTGATTATTCAATTGCTAGTTCAAAACAACCTGATAGTAATAACTTTTATTATGTTTTGTTATGTTGGTGTTTTCCCCTTGTAAGCTTTAGAGATTCTGCAGTTCCCCTGTGAATAGAATAGCCTGGTTAGATTTGAATTTTGAAAAAATAACAATAATTCTTTTTCTTTTTTAGCATGAATTATTTTTTATCTATTATATGGGACATGTAATGAAAACTGTTCATTACTCATCGAAGTTCAAAACTAAACTAGGTGTCCTGTACTTTTATTTGCTACATCTTAGAAGCATACCCATGGATTTGCTATGACTCCTTAGGGCATCTTGACACATAATTTGGAAACCATAGCCCTATAGCCCTAGACCATTTTTTAATGTAAAACTGTATTTATTTTAAATTAATAAGTCATCCAGGAATTTTAAAAATGTTTTAAATATAATTAAAGTACCCAAATATTTTGTATTCAGTTTTGAGTAGAGATGTTCAGATTATGAAAATGGGGTTTATACTAACTGATGATGGTCCAGCCTGTGTACATTGAGCATTGAGCATTGAGCCATAAATTGTGGTGTCCCCAATTCACCTGCTGTCACTTGAGCAAAATCTTACTGCCAGAGCAGAACTTCTTGTATCTTCCAAGGACTTCCAAAAGCTGAAGCAAATGAAGTAAGATTTTTTTTTTTAATTTTCCTGTCCAATTTTGTTGTAACATAGACAAAATTATAGTCATTTATTGGTAATGGAATTCCTTTGATTTGATAACAAATAATACTCATTATGAAGATCAGATCTGGAGGTATTCTTCATTATGTTGCTGATCTAACCATTAAACCGTAATATTTTTCTTTTAGGAAGCTCAGTGGATATGCTGTATAGTTTTGCAAATTGCTCAGGACTGAACTTGATCTTTGGTCTAAATGCATTACTAAGAACAGCAGATTTGCAGTGGAATAGTTCTAATGCTCAGTTGCTCCTGGACTACTGCTCTTCCAAGAATTACAACATTTCTTGGGAACTAGGCAATGGTGAGTACCCCTGGAAACTTTTAATAAGGAGATTCCCCTTTGGCATTATTTGTTCCTATTTATGACATTCTTTTGAATATTAGCACATTCTTGCAGGTTTTCAACAATGCAACTTTTGGGAGCTGGGCACAATGATGCGTGTCTATAATTCCAGCTATTTGAGAGGCTGAGGCAGGAGGATTGCGAGTTTTAGGCCAGCCTGGGCAACTTAGTGAGACCCTATCTCAAAATAAAAAATAAGAAGTGCAAGAGATGTAGCTCAGTAGCTCAGTGTTAGTACATCACTGTGGTCAATTCCCAGTATGGGGGGTCAGGGTGGGCAATGCAACTTGTGAAACTATATATGGAAGAAAAGTCTTATATATTCCAGAATACATTACTAGTCCCAGTTTATGCTATATTTGAGGTGAGGCAAACTATTAAAGCCAGCAACCTTCCCAGCTCCAGGTTCCCTTGAGATTTTCAGAGTCTATTAGACCTATTATGCTTGGCAGGCTGGACTCAGCAAAACTGTGAAGTAGGCCATTTGTTTTCCCTCCCCCCGCCCCTCCTTCCTCTGTTTTTCCATTTGTCAGTTAATCTCAGCAACCCTGTCCCAATTTTCATTACTTGCTCAAGATGACTAAAAGTTGCCAGCCATAAAATATTACCCATATCAAGTTCCTGAATGTCTCCTTCTTCACTCTTTTGCAAGGAACTTATAAATTCCAACTAAAGTGTTAATGATTAGTTCTATTTTTTTTCAAAATCTAGTACTTTTCTATGCATTACCCAATGAAACTGATTATAAAATGGAAAATGAAATGTAACATAGTGAGCACATGCTCCGTGGTAGGCATTGTGCTAAGCATTTGATCTCTTCTCTCTGCCTCAAATTTTCCTCCTCCTCCTCTTCCTCTTCCTTCTTATTTAATACTGGATACAGACTATTTTCCAAATGGTTTAATATTATTAACTTCAAGTTGTTCAATACCCTCCTCATACTTCATTTATGCAATTAACATTTTATTTTTATGGAAAAAAAATCTTTTTTAATAACTGTGATTTTACTTTTCTTCACTTTGAATTGTAAGTTTTTGCAATTTGGAAAATGTTTGTTGCATTTATATGTTGCTGTGTTTTTGCTTTTAAAGCAAATTCTAGCTTTTAAAGCTAGGAAAAATGTCTAGATAGGTGATTAGTTTGACAATTGCTGTCTTTCAGAACCTAACAGTTTCTGGAAGAAGTCTGGGATTTACATTGATGGATTACAGTTAGGAGAAGATTTTATTGAGCTGCACAAACTTCTTAGAAATTCCACTTTCAAAAATGCAAAACTCTATGGTCCTGATGTGGGTCAGCCTCGAGGAAACACAGTTAAAATGCTAAGGAGGTAAGACTTAGAGAATGCAGAACCACTTTTCTTAACAATATCCAGGTGTGGTGCCACATGCTTGTAATCCCCACAGCTCAGGAGGCTGAGGCAGGAGGATCACAAGTTCAAAGCCAGCCTCAGCAACTTAGTAAAGCCCTAAGCAACTTAGAGAGATCCTGTCTCAAAATAAAACATAAAAAAGTTTGGGGATGTGGCTCAGTTTTTAAGGGCCCCTGGGTTCAATCCCTGATATCTCTCACTTCCCCACACAAAAAATCTTCTGGGGATAATCCCCAACAGACCACCTGTTATTACACAATTTGCTGCCTGCCTACATGGTTTATTAAAAGAGGAAATATTGGCTTAGAATACCAAGAATTCTGGCACCTAGTTGGCACCTATGAAAAAATTTGTTGTCAGAATTAGGTAGTTTTTGTGTTTGTCTGAATCTAACTCATAACAAGCCATTTCTAGGGAATAAAACCCCTATGTAAACATTGTACATCTATATGAGGAAGTGAGAACATAATAGAATTTTTGTTCTAGTTTCCTGAAGGCTGGTGGAGAAGTGATTGATTCGGTTACGTGGCATCAGTAAGTATATCTTCTATTCTTAATACTAGGAAAATAATGCTACTTTTACTTACTGCCGTTTTCAAAAAAATTATCTCCACTTAACTGCTAACTAGCTTTATAGTTCAGATAAGAAACAAATAGTATCTCAAGCAGTGTACTAGAACTTTAAGAAGAATAAAAGAAAAATGTAATGTTATTTTAAATAGTGTGGTATCTTTAAAGATCAAGGTATACTGTCAACCAACACATACAATATAAAAGTAGCTAAAACCAATTGCTTGCCAAAAAACAGGAAATCCAGAAGTGCCTGTACTTGTGACTGTATCCTTTTAAGACAAAGGAATTGATTTCTAGTTTTTTGATAGACTGGTCTCTTCCTCTTGTTCCCTTTTCATCTTGGTCCTTCCTTTATGGCATCTCTGCCTTTTAAAAAAAATTTTTTAACAATGGGGATGAGCAAGATAGGAAGGAGAACAAGGTTGGCAATTGACTTAGAGCAGAAGATAAAGTTTTTTATTTTTCTTTGAATATTTTCTGAATAATTTAGCTACTATTTGAATGGACGCATTGCTACCGAAGAAGATTTTCTAAACCCTGATGTGCTGGACACTTTTATTTTATCCGTGCAAAAAGTTTTCCAGGTAATAGTCTTTTAAAGTTTTTTATATAAAACCAGAGTTCTTCTTTTGTAGTCTAGTTAGTTCTAAATTTCATAGGTATATATATTCACATGTTTTCTTTTCTAATTTTGGAGAATAAGCACTGTTTTATTCAGCCTTTGGTTTCCTCCCCAGCATTGGATCTTACTCATTTATATTTATTAGAAATGAAAAATACTATAACTAAAAAGAACAAATTTAAAAAACACTTCCAATAGTCTTAAGTATAATTAACTACCATAGACTATAATACTGAATATTTATATTCCTTCCATACCCTAGTATTCCAATAAAAGAAAATTGTTTAAGACCTAAATGACTGTGAACTATTTTGTAACTGTGTAGGACAGATGGGTCTGGAAATTCAAGGTTTTGGATGCTGTTAATCTTCAACACCACAACTGGTCAGCTTGTCTGCAATTACCATGGAGACTCTCCTGTTCCCATAGGTGGTTAAGGAGACCAGGCCTAGCAAGAAGGTCTGGTTAGGAGAAACGAGCTCTGCGTATGGGGGAGGCGCACCCTTGCTGTCCAACACCTTTGCAGCTGGCTTTATGTGAGTGAAACTGCACTGGCCTCAGGGATCTGATTGCAGCCATTCTCCATCCTGTTAGTGTCAGCCAAAACCAGAACAAAGACAGTTTTTGTGGCTGAAGCACCAAAATTTGTGCCAGATGGTGCAAGAAAATCACTTGTTAAAGCTTGTTGGACCTCTTTAACAAATGTCCCAAATTAATCATTAAAAGGATGAATGGTTTTAGACATTATATTCCTTAATTGTGGCCTAGAAATATGTCACAGGAGTCCTTCATGTAAAAACACTCCCTGTAAAACAAGCATCGGGAGTGCTGGCTCTGAGAAGCATGCTTAGAGTATCTAGCTGTATTATAGATTCCCAAGAAGTTTAGAGTCTAAAATATAAGGTCACAGCGCAGGGCTGCCAGTGAAGTTAAAGATTTGCTGAATCACCTCACTAGCCAACACCAGAAACTTGATTGCTTTAAACCATGGTGTATTTACATTCAGTATATAACTTCCTGAGTATGCTTATCTGTAGTTCTGTGTCCTCATAGAGATTTTTTCTCTTTCCTCTCCTGTCCTACCTCTCCCCACCCACTTCTTTCTTCATTGTTATAATCTTATGATATAATATAAGAATAGAGAGAAGAACGGAGGCATTGGTTTTACCATTAATGAAAGACTTGGGGTGTAGATGGTGGGGGTACAGACAGGGTATGATAGGAGACGTCCTAAGAGTTTAATTGTGATTCTACTTATTCTCCATCTTTATCTCTGCTGGCTACAGCCTTTTCTTCAGCCCTCTCACAGTGTGTTTATAGGGGTCAGGCACAGGATGAGGAATTGTCTCTTGGGGTGGGAATTTGTCTCCTCTGCTTTGTAGAAGTTGCCTTGCCCTGAAAGGGACTCCTGGCAAGTTAGTGGCCTTCAAGGATGTGTCATCTTGCTGGTGTGGGGAGACGTGAGGGAGGATGTGCTTCTGCACACAGTGCATTTCATTGGAATGGCTTCTGTATAATTAATGCCACTCATCTAAGTTCCCATTAATTCCTCCCAAATAGACAAATAATAAATCAGGATTGTGTGTAGTTAGAATTGAGGGATTTTGTTTTCAAACCTAAACAAAGCTGGATGTTTCTCTGCCCCAGGTGGCTGGATAAACTGGGCCTGTCAGCCCAGATGGGCATAGAAGTGGTGATGAGGCAGGTTCTCTTTGGAGCTGGAAACTACCACCTAGTAGATGAAAACTTCGAACCTTTGCCTGTAAGTGACCATTATTTTTCTATTTTTATGAGAAGATAAAAGTATGCTCAGAGCCCTTCTTATCTGTTGACAATACTAATCCCTTGTATTTATAGACAGTCCTCACAATAAATAGTCAAATTGTGGGATGATGAGTTGGAAGGAAACTAGTGTGACTAGAAAAGAAATCAGGAGCCAGAATTAACTCTTTTTAATGCAGGTCATTTGAAGCATAGAGTAGATGCACTTTTTTTTTCCTTCAGTACTAGGGATTGGACCCAGGGGTGCTCAACCACTGAGCCATAGCCCCAGTCCTTTTTATTTTTTATTTTGAGACAGGGCCTCACTAAGTTACAGAGACTGGCCTCCTGCCTCGGCTTCCCAAGTTGCTGAGAGTATAGGCGTGTACCACCACACCTGACCAAGGATATGCTTTTTTTTTTAGTTGCAGATGGGCACAATACCTTTATTTTATTTATTTATTTTTATGTGGTACTGAGGATCAAACCCAGTACCTCATATATGCTAGGCAAGCATTCTTACCACTGAGCCACAACCACAGCCCCTGGATATGCTTTTTAAAAAGGGTCATTTGAAATTTTTATGACTCATCTCACAAGATAACAAACTTTTATCTAAAATTGTTTTGCAAGACTGAGGGTGTAGATCAGTAGTAGAGCGCTTGCCATGCATGTAAAAGACCACGGGTTCAAACCCCAGCACTGCCCTCCCCCCCCAAAAAAAAGTTTGTGAAACAAATCAAAGTTAAAATTTCTATAGTGCCCAAAGCTTCACAAAATTTTTATATCATGAAATCATATTTTATTTAGCTTTAAAATGAGCCAGTGCCATATATTTCTTTTAAAAAACTTACTCTAAGAATTGAATATTTGTTAATCAGCTTCAAGATATTTATGAATGAAGTCTCATTTTCATCCTATCTCTAACTGTATCTGTTGCCAAGTGAGGAAATATAGCTTTGTTTATCCAAAGTGCCACCTGTAAGATATAGTGCTAATTTATATAGATGCATATTTACCTAATTTATATACATACATATTATCCTAGTTTTTATTTATATACATCTTATACATCTGTTATCCTAATTTATATGTACATATTTATATACATAAATATTAGGATAATAGAAATGTAACCCTGAGAAGTATGACTTTGATTTCTATCATCTAAAATGGATTTGAGGATTTCTGTTTTCTAAGAAAAATTCTTGAGGGAGTTATTTGAATAGTTCTATTTAATCAGTGTTTCACATTTTCCTTATTGTCTAAAATATTACTAATAGTTTATTATTCAAACCAGAATCCAAACAAGGTCTGCCTAATGCATTTGGTTGATATGTCTCTATGTTTGTTCAACTTTAGGTTCTCTTTTCTCTCTTTTGTCCATGTAATTTATCAATTAAAGAAACTAGGTGGGTTATTTGAAAAGTGTTTCCCACATTCTGGATTTTAATAAATTTATTCCTGTCATATCATTTAGCATGTTTGTTGCTCCCATTTCCTGTAAACTGTTAGCTATACCTAGAAACGTGAACTTATTCAAGCTCTGTTTTGAGGGAGCAAGAATTCCTCACAGATGATGTCGTGTTTTTCTGTCTGGAAGTACTTAATGTTTCTCTCTTCTTTTGATCTTGATAGATAATGATTATTGCTTAACCCATCGTTTTATTAGGAGGGTTATCAGGTTTTAAAGGAAATTAATTTTGTCTTAGAAGTTTTATTTCAAAAAATCTTCTTTGTGTATGTGTGTATTTGTGGATGTGTATGTCTTAAATTTCTGGTTTAAGCTGAGTGTGGTGGTACACACCAGTAATCCCAAAAATTTGAGACGCTGAAGCAGGAAGATTACAAGTTTGAGGCCAGTCTCAGTAACTTAGCTAGACCTTGTCTTGAAATAAAAAATTAAAAGGACTGAGGATATAGCTAAATGGTAAAGCACCCCTGAATTCAATCCCCAGTACACCCCACTACCCCGAAAAAAGTTCTGGTTTGAGCTTTACCTTGAATTCTTGGATGAAAGACAACCAAGAATATTTAAACTTTCTGAGCAATTGATTGCATTCTTGAAATATGTCTTCCTGTGGCTATGACTCTCTGAATTTTGGAAGTCCTCTAGGGACACAAAGCTGCAAATAATGTATTTCCCTCAGATTCAAGGTAATCATATAGAAGGAAAGGAAGGATCACATGGGAGGAAGGGAGGAAAGAAATAATCCTATTTACATATATGCAGGATAACAGTTCTACTCTTTGTAGGATAGCTATTTGCTTGCCACTAGTTTTGTTAATAAAATAAGTAAAGTTCTATTTTTGACCCTGCCCTCCCCAACCACCACAACTAGGATTATTGGCTGTCTCTCCTGTTCAAAAAATTGGTTGGCACCAGTGTGTTCATGGCAAGTGTGAAAGGCCCAGACAGAAGCAAAGTTCGAGTGTACCTTCACTGCACAAACGCCAACCAGTAAGTGTGAAGCATGCTGTTAGCCAACCTACAAGATTTAATCCATAAGCACATAACATCCTATACTAACACCCTGTTGCTATCTGTCTACACAGAGGGTCGAAGCTGTGTCATTGGTCCTTTTCATTCTTTGTTTTTTTTTACATTCATGGTGATATGATATCAGAATCTAACTTCAAAAAATTGCTTAAATGTAGGCATTTACAGTCAATAAAAATTTAGATAATGATTTTAATTGTCATAATCTATAATGGAAATATACCAAGTTTTAATATATAAGGATAGTAAAAATATAAGAAAATATAAATACTTTTGTATAAGCATTATTCATTAAAGGTGTATGAGTATAAATATAAGTGAGAATTAATATGAATAAACAATTTTAATGTATTTATCTCCTAGCATACCTAAGAAACACAAAGGAAGAAGAAGAAAAATAATCAAAAGAAAGGGAACAATAAAAACAACAATCTTAATTTCAAAATTGCCACCATAGTTTCTAGAGTTGAGAGGCCCTAGAAAGACTTTTATAGTCCTGCAGTGGGGCTTTAGGTAGCAAACAATATTCCTAAATCCCAGGGATTTTCTCTTCTCAGTTTCAATCTATCATCCTGATAGAAAGGTACTTTAATACTAATTCTAGCAAAAAAATCCACCTCCATTTCCCATTTTCTGTGACTGGAAATACTGTGGAGGGTAGAGGCCCCACTAGGAAGTAGTAAGGGAATGGTTTGAATGGATGAATTCTGAAATGTGTCCATAGATTAATTTTTCCTGTTTATTTCATTCTTTTCATAGAGATAGGAAGAGATGCTATTTATATAGTTTGTAATTTGAATTCATATGAACTCATGAAATTTACTTTTTTATCATTTAGCCTTCTTATACTTAAAAATTGGTGGTCTATCTGGCTTTCCAACAACTTAGTCTGACAAATTAGTAAAGATTTTAGAGGTCTGGCTCCAAAAATGGTAGTATGAAGAGCAATATTTTTTCTGTTTTTGTTCTGTCCGAGGGACCAAACCCAATGCCTCACACATGCTACTCCCCCAGCTCCCAAGAGCAATATTTTTAATTATGTTTTCAGAAAAGGACCACATGTGTGGTCTAATATTATAAAAAGAAGATACTAATAGTCCCATCATCATTATGGATGCTGATACTTAGTATCCATGATCATATTTGTAATCAAGTTCTTAATTGCTTAAATTAGATAAATATTTTTATTAAATTAACCTATTTGCTTTTTAGCCCAAGATATAAAGAAGGAGATTTAACTCTGTATGCCTTAAACCTCTATAACGTCACCAAGCGCTTGCAGTTACCATATAACTTATTTAACAAACAAGTGGATAAGTACCTTGTAAAACCTTCAGGACCTGATGGATTACTTTCCAAGTGAGTGATTTTCCTTGTTCATTTCAGACTTTTAATGAACTTGTTGGTGTTTATCAGAATAGAGAGTTTTGAGAGGGGGCAAAAAATAAAAAGTCAACTATTTCAAATTCTAACTGTTCTTAATATTCAGGGATACTTATAAATACAAGCATAACTTACTCAGAGAGTCCAAAGTGAAAGATTTGAACACAAACCAGCAGTTATCTTAAAGGATAGTTTGTGTTTCAGAATAACTAGATAATCATAATCCACTCAATGCATTTAGATTATTTCCTCTGAAATGACATAATTCTTGGTAACACAGTCTCTAAAGCAAAACATACCTATATATAATTGTTATTAAGTATGTGTGGGTTGCTACAAAATATCATACCATTCCATGTGAGCTGGGTGTGATGCTCTTACAGCATTAAAATAATTTTTTGTTGGTTAGAGTAAGACAAAATGGCTAGAAATGTATTGCTAGTCGGATTATTTGAATTGGTTTTAAAACCCAGTCAATACATCTTATAAAAGCACATATTCAACAGAGTACCAAAGAATGGCTGAGGCTTGCAGAGCTGGGTATACAAACATTTTAAGATTCTGTCTTGTATGTGTTGGAAGGATCTCTTTTCATAGTGACTATTCTCATAGTGGAGAACAAAAAAAAAATGAACAGTTTGTAATATTACCATCATCTCCCATCTTCACAAATGCTATCTGTGTGATGTTTTCAGTGAGTATTAGCAATGGAACATGAGAAAGTACAGTAAGCCTACTTTCTCCAAAATCCTATCCTTCACAAACAAGCAATATTTACATTGGGTACCATGCATTCCATTATTTTCCCCAGTGCTTTTTTTAAAAAAAAAATATATTTTTAGTTGTAGGTGGACATGATACTTTTATTTTGTTTATTTATTTTTATGTGGTGCTGGGGATTGAACCCAGTGCCTCACATGTGCTATGCAAGTGCTCTACCACTGAGCTACAACCCCAGCCTCCCCCACCCGCCCAATGCCTTTGTAAATACTATAATTATATAACCTCTCACAGGAAAAAAGAGGATCTATAAGATCTACAGGTTTTCCCATATCCGTGTGTGTGTGTGTGCGTGTGTGTGTGTGTGTGTGTTTTATACTGGGAATTGAAGCCCTACTACTGAGCTATGTCCCCAGCCCTTTTTATTTTTTATTTGAGCCAAGGCTGGCCTTGAGCTTCCATCCTCTTGAGTTGCTGGGATTATAGGTGCTTATCATTGCACCCAGCTCCCAAGTCTCTTTCTACATGGTTTTTGTAGATATATTTAATGGGTTGCATGTTTTATAAAATACCATGGTTTACTTGACCATTTTCCTACTGTTCAAACCATTTTCCCCCAATAATAAATAATGCATATTTAGATAACAAATACTTTTCTCTATTTTCATTTAGATGCTTTCAAAATGAGTCCTTTTTAGCATATTCATGTCTGATGCTGATAAGGAAAAAGCTTTCTGAAATAACTAATGGTTGTAGAGGTGGAAGTGTCTTAGGAGACTCATCCAAGGCCATTCAGCTCAGTTTGGTTCTTTGAGTTCAGTTGGAACCCACAACCTCCTAAAGGCAGCTGTGTTCTGTATCTTTACTTTGTTCTTAATTCTATTCCCTAGAACAGAGGTTGGAAAATCTACCTTATGCCTGTAGAGGATTCCCACATATGCAACCATTTTCTGGTAGGGGAGGTTGGCATGCACTCTATTAATTTTTGTTTTTAAGTTAATTGCAACATTTATGAATTGACGATTACTAAAATATATCAATTTCTGGTTTGTGTGTGTGTGTGTGTGTGTGTGTGTGTGTTTGTACGCACACACAAGTATGTGAATGCTGGGGATAGAACCCAGACCCGTGTGCATGCTAAGCAAGTACTGTACTCCTGAGCTACATTCCCTCTAGCTTTTCTTTTAAAATGGATACTTGTGGGGCACCGTGGTGCACGCCTGTAATCCCAGCAGCTGGGGAGGTTGAGGGAAGAGGATCATGAGTTCAAAGGAAGCCTCAGCAATGGCAAGGCACTAAGCAACTTAGTGAGACCCTGTCTCTAAATAAAATACAAAATAGAGCTGGGGATATGGCTCAGTGGTTGAGTACCTCTGAGTTTAATCCCCGGTACTCCCTAACCCCTAAAAAATGAATACTCCAGCAACCCTGTGTTAGTTTTCTCCCTTAGCTGGAGTTGGATTAGAGTTGTCTATTTAGGTGGATCATTTAGTTGTCTATTTTTGGCTTTTTAGTTCTGCATTATCCCTTCCTGACTCTGTTGCCCTATGCCTGTCCTGCTGGTCTTGAATATATACTCTCCTTGGCCCCGGGCTCATTTGAGTTTGTCAGCCATAATCTGGGGTGATGCTAAATATCTAATGTTCCCCAGGTTAACTCTCACATGTTTGAAGGATGATTGGATTGTCTTCTCTCCAAGCTAAATATGCCCAATTTCTTAAGTGATTTTTTGTTGTTGTTGTTGTATTTAGCAGACTCTGTTGCATTCTGATCACATATTTCATGCTTTTCAATTGGAAAACTGGTAAAATTATGGAAAATTTTTTGTTCTCCTCACTTTTATTTAATGAATACATATTACTTCCACTTTTCTTTGTTTATATTTTACAAGAAGAATCCCAGAGCTGGTGCATTGTGTAATCTCATCTATTTGGGAAACTGAAGCAGGAGGATCACAAGTTTGAGATCAGTCTGGGGAATTTTGCAAGATCCTGACTCAAAATAAAATTTAAAAATGAATGGTAGAGACCCTGGGTTTGACCACAAGTACCACAAAAAGAAAAAGAAAAAACAAAGTATACCCCAGATAAGTTTGATGCGTATGCAGTATATTTGCTCATATTAATGACCTCAGAGAGCTAAGCAATGACAACCCTAAAAAATAATTTTTTTAATTGAACAACCTTTGTATAGTTCCTATTGAGAGTCCTGACTTATAAGTATTTAATTAATATTTGAATGAATATATTTTTAATATAAAAGCAGTATTTTATATTTATCTCATATTTTTTTCCTGTTATCCCCAGTTTTGTCAAATCTGTTGCTTGCTCATTCCCTACTTTATTTTTCCTGAAACTTGACAAATATGTCTTCTATTACCTTATCTTCATGTTACCATCCTCAAAATATGAAACAGGAGCTGGGGATGTGGCTCAGTGGTAAAGAGCTTGTCTGGCATGCATGAGGCCCTGGGTTCAAATCCCCAAACACCAAAAACCAAATAAATAAAAATGAATGAGCATATGAAACAAGCTGCTATCCCCAAATAAATACCTATTCTCCTTGCCCAGCCTGATGTGGAAATAATCAGCATACTTTAGGCTTACACTGAGTATACTTACAGCATCTTTTAGATATATGTATAATTAATTAAACAATATAACCTGATGGTATAAGTATCTTGCTATGTTCCTCAACTTATAGCAGTATTAATTCACAATGATCAGGTTTACCTTTAAGCCGAGGTAGTAAACTACCTTCACCAAAAGCACGTCTAGAATAACCAAAAGCATTTCTGGAACATTTGTGAGTAGGCATGCCAGGACCTTCATTTCATGCAGAACAGACTCTTAACTTCTATCATTTAGAAATATTTTTTAAGACCTATTTTTATCTGTGGTTTCCTGATGATGGTCATGAAATTTCCTCTCCTACCCCCATCTAAAAATTGTTATGATATAGATGTTAAAAAACAAAAACTGACACCTGTGAACTGACTTCAACTACAATGCAGGCTTGTTAGTGTTGGGCACAATCCTGAGTGTGTTACTGATATGTCTTAAATTACTGAATCCAGAGCTAAGCATCTAACCAGGTTATATAGAGACCATTTTTTCTTCTCCTTGATCCTTAGTAATGACAGGGAGTGAGAGATCTTTAATAATGAAAAATATATAGTAATGCTACTTGGAAACAGGAAAATATATATCAGTGGAGGATTAAATAAATAAATTAATGTACCAATATCATGGAATCCTGTGTATCCAATAAAATGACTGAATGAATGTTAAAATTTTCAACAAATATGAGGATGGATGAAGGGGAAAAGAATCAAGTTTTAAGAAAATATGTACACTATATCATTTTTACTTACGTAAAATATGTGAGAATATACAAACAGAAATATGGAATAAATATACATCAAAATATTAAAAGTACATTTTAGCAAGTTACTTTTGTTATATTTATTTATCTGAATAATGATCATATATAATAATTTTATAGTGCTCATTGTATACAAGATATAGTTATAAGTGTTCTAGGTACATTACATACATTACATTTATGATATAAATGTAATTCTGACATTAGTCTTCTAAGTTTTCAACAATAAAAAGTGCTAACTTGAGCTAGAATGTGACTCAGTGATACAGTGCTTGCCTAGCATGACCCTGTGTTCAATCCTCAGCACAGCAAAAAATAAATAAATAGTGCTAATTTTTTTTCTAATAAAAAAGCATTTTAAAAAGATACAGATATAAGCATAATTTAGAATTATGAAAGTAACTATAAGTAGAACTAAAATAGACTAAATTTTATTCATTAATACTGTATGGCCAGGTGCCATGGTGCATGCCTGAAATCGCAATGGCTAGGCGGGGGAGGCTAATGCAGGAGGATCTCAAGTTCAAAGCCAGCTTCATCAATTTAACAATGCACTAAGCAACTTAGAGAGACCCTGTCTCAAAATTAAAAAATACAAAGTGCTGGAGATGTGGCTCAGTTTTAAATTTTAATTCCAATAGTAAAAAACACAGAAAACATAAATTTTAAATAAAATTGATTTTGTTCCACTATAGCAGAATACATTCTACCTAAATACCTAAGAAAATGAATGTATCCTTCCTGGGGAGAGAAGGGAATTATACAGTTAAATGAAAGTTACAAGTAGGAAATTTTATTGACTGTCATTTTTTATGTGGCTCACCCCTGCAATCCCAGTGGTCCAGGAGGCTGAGGCAAGAGGATGGTGAGTTCAAAGCCAGCCTCAGCAATGGTGAGGCACTAAGCAACTCAGTGAGACCCTGTCTCTAAATAAAATACAAAATAGGGCTGGGGATGTGGCTCAGTAATTAAGTACTCTGAGTTCAATTCCTGGTACCTAAAATATGTGTGTGTGTGTGTGTAAATATATACATATGTTTATATAAGAAATATCATATATGTATACATATGTAAAGTATACACACACACACACACACATATATATATATATATATAAATCAATTATTTTCCATGAGATACAATTGCTACAACTCCAGAAATGATGTCATATTTTTTATTTTATCCCTCCATTATATTGCCTAGTATAGATTTGTATGTTTCATTTTCTGGAAAGGGACAGATGGCATTTCAGGCTTTATAGGTCATATGGTCTTTGTTCCAACTACTCTTCTCTACCACTGTGATTAAAAGATAGATCACACCTCACTGACATAGTGTTGAAATACAAGTTATATAACATAAGCTGCCACAAACAAAAAAAAATTGTCTAAAAAGGATTGCACAAGTTTTGAAGGGGGTTATAGGGCATGCACAGCTTGGGTAACTCAGGTATATCTTTCCTCTTTGCAGAACTGTTGAACTCAATGGTCAAACTCTGAAGATGGTGGATGCGCAAACACTGCCAGCTTTGACAGAAAAACCTCTCCGCCCAGGAAGTTCCCTAGGCTTGCCACCTTTCTCATATGGGTTTTTTGTGATAAGAAATGCTAAAGTGGCTGCTTGTATATAAAAAAGAAAAGCTGGTTCTAGGCCTGAGGTTAAATATTTCAAGTGTAATTGATAAGGGCTGGGGGTGTAGCTCAGTAGTAGCTCAGTAGAGCACTTGCCTAGCATGCACAAGTCCCAGCACCAAAAACCAAAACAACAAACAAAAAATCAAGTGCATTGATGAATAAAGCGAAGCTCAAACTGTAGGAAGCAAGAAGATTCATTACAAATCAAGTAATTTGGAGTGGGAGCTCCAAAGACACTGGGACACTATGCTACATTTAGCATAGTATTTTGATCGCTAAGTAGAGCACTGCTAATAATAATAGCTAATAATACCATGTGCCAAACACTATATTTAGCACACTGCATGCACTATTTTTAAGTTTATTAAAAAAATATAGCCAGATGTGGTGGCACACACCTATAACTTTAGCTGTGCAGTAGGATCACAAGTTCAAAGCCAACCTCAGCAAAAGCAAGGCAGTAAGCAACTCAGTGAGACCCTGTCTCTAAATAAAATTCAAAATAGGTCTGGTGATGTGGCTCAGTGGTCGAGTGCCTCCTGAGTTCAATCCCTTTTAACCCCCAACCCCAATGTATATGAATGTTCCTAATATGGCCAAGAGGCAAATAAGTGAAGGATGTATTATTCATTTTAAGAAAGTGTTAACTTGTTTTTATTTTTAAAGACTGTTAAAAGATTGTCACATTCTTTCCTTCATGTGCCATCTCTGTGGGCTCCCATGGGGAAGAGTTTCCTGCCACAACCTTGCAGTCATCTGTAAAATAGAAACTATCTATTTGCACCTTAACAAGAGATAGATTCAGCTGCTACTCTTTTTCTCTTCTGTTTGCCTTTGTCAGCAATCATTTGTGAGAGGACAGATTGTCAGATATGAGTGTCAAAGTATTGAACAATACAGAGGTTAAGGGGTTATGTAAACTTCCAATGAAGTTTTAAAATGACTGTAAATGAGATTGATTTTCTAAAAGGAAAAATTTTAGATAACATCCAGTACATCATAACCATTTGCTAATTTTTATTTTTTCTCAGCTGTTTTTGTTTCAGTTGGGAGACTTTGAGCTCCAAGTAACAGAGAAACCATGATTCAAATGGCTTAGATAATAAGGAAATTGACAATTCCATACAACAGCAAGTTCAAGTAGGGAAGAGTCTGTCAGGAATCCAGGTCCTTTCCCTCTCTCTGTTGTGCCATCTTTAGTGTTAGCTTTGTTCCTGGGCTTATAGCACGATGTCTCTAGCTCCTCCATGGATCCATTCAGATCTGGTAGCAACCAGAGGAAGAAAAACAGGTTTTTTTTCTGTAAAGAGTTGAAGAACTCTTTCTCAGAGGTTCTCCCAGTAAACTTTTCCTTGTGTCTGCTAATGTCTTATTGGTCAGGAATAGGTCATGTAGCCATTTCTCCAGTCACTGGCAATAACCATGAATTGACTCTGCATGGTCCTCTTTGCAGTGGAGAAGGTTGTAAGAGTCCACAGCACTGCACAAAATAGTTCTGTGCTTTTTATCAATGGCAAAATGTATTATTTCCCCCTGTATTTTAATCCTCTTAAGGATTACTATTCTTTATATTTATGTCTATGAATGTTGCCTCAATAAAGTTTAAGTAAATTTATAAAGCTAGAACTTAAAAAGTTTGGATGCTTCAGTACTCTTAAATTTTATATGTAAGTGGTTTTTATATTTTCACCTTTGAAATACAGTAATTTTTATAATCTTAATATTCTTTAAATAAAGCTAAAGCCTACAGATTCCTATATTTGAAAATCTTGTTTTCTTCATCATTGTCTTTATAACTCCTGCCTTTATTAGTCATTTCACATTTCCCAACACCAAAGTACTTGACTTTGAAAAGAAGGGCCCATCATATCTCATCATATGTATTTAATCATGATCAAAGCCCGGTCTTGTCTCTTTTTTTATTTTTATTTTTTTCCACTAATGATTGAACCCTAGGGCTCTCTATCACTGAGTTACATCCCCAGTCATTTTTATTTTTTGTTTTGAGGCAGAGTCTTGTTTCTTTTCCTTGTCCCCTCTTCCACTTCATAATACAAGTGAAAAATTAGGCCTTGAATTTATTCTAGGAATTACCTAGTTATTCACCCTGACCTAAAATTCTTAAATGGCTCCCTATTTCTTACACACACATAAGATACTCCATAACCTGGCACCTGCCTATTTCTTCAGTCCTAACACTTGTCACTCTCCTCATGAATTCTGTTCTCCAAGCAGATATGAGTTGAGAAGTCTGAACCCACATACTCTTGCATATTTGCTCCCAGATCATTTATGCTGTTCTTTCTCTCTTCCTAACTATTCTAATGTCCTCTCCAGGTAGCGAACATTCATGTTTATGAAGACCAGCTCAGACATCAATTTCAATACCTCAGTCATTCAGGTAGCTTTCATTTTTCTTTGCTTTCACAGCATTTATGGCACTTATGATGCATTTTAATTGTATCCATAAGTCTGTCTCATTTGACTTGAAGCTTACAAGAAACAGTTATAGTATCTTCATCATCTTTGCATTTCCTGTGCTTAGCACATTTTCCAGCACACAGTAACCAATCAGATGACTTCTTCATGACATAAAAGAGCATTCAAGTTTGAAACGAAGCTATGGTATTTTGATTTGGAATATTCAGGAAAATTTAACATTTCAAACCTAAGAAGGTGGTGTTTACTACTTCTTTAAAATTCTTTTAAGGATATGTTTGTTAGCTTATTTCTGCCCAGGGATGACGCCAAGCCTCATTAAAGTCTCATATCTAAATCAGAGTCACCTAAAGAGCCTGAACAGCTGCAGGTGCTATTCATCAGAGGGCAGAGCTTCAAAACAACTGATGAGAACTGAGAAGCCATTTTGAGCCATGGGGAACACTCACGGACTATGTGGTAATGAGACCCAAACACTAGTGCTCCAGGGGCTTTGGGTTTGTCACTGTGGAGGAAATGCATGCAGCCATGAATGCAGGACCACACAAGGTGATGGAAGAGTTGTAAAGTCAAAGAGAGCTGTCTCAAGATTTCCAAAGACTGGGGCCCACTTAACTGTGAAAAAGATCTTTTTGTTGGTGGCATTAAAGAAGACACTGAAAAACATCACTACGAGATTCTTTTGAACAGCTTGGTAAAATAGAAGTTACTGAAATCATGACTTACCAAGGCAGCGGAAAGAAGCGGGGCTTTGCTTTAGTAACTTTTGATGACCATGGCTCTGTGGATGAGATTGTCATTTGGAAATACCATACTGTGAATGGCCACGACTGTGAAGTGAGGAAAGCCCTGTCAAAGTAAGACATGGCTAGTGTTTCATCTAGCCAAAGAGATCAAAGTGGTTCTGAAAACTTTGGTGGTGGTCTTGGAGGTGGTTTTGGTGGAAATGATAATTTTGGTTATGGAGTAAACTTTAGTGGTCATGGTAGATATGGTGGCAGTAGCAATGGCTACAATGGATTTGGTAAAGATGGAAGCAATTTTGGAGGTGGTAGAAGCAACAAAGATTTTGACAATTACACCAGTCATAAAATTTTGGACCCAAGAAGGGTGGAAACTTTGGAGGCAGAAACTCTGGACCTTATGGTGGTGGAGTCCAATACTTTGCTAAATTACAAAACCAACGTGGCTATGCAGATTCCAGCAGCAGCAGTAGCTGTAGCAGTGGCAGAAGGTTTTAATACTGCCAGGAAACAAAGATTAGCAAGAGAGAAGAGCCCGGTAAATGACAGGGAACATATAGGTTACAACAGATTTGTGAACTCAGCCAAGCATAGTGATGTCAGGGATTCTGTGCCACAAAGAAGACATGAGTTAGACAATGCTCATGTGTATGGGCAAAAAACTCGAGGACTGTATTTGTAACTAATTGTATAGCAGGTTATTTCAGTTTCTGTTCTGTGGAAAGTGTAGTATTCCAACAAAAGGTTTTAATGTAGACTTCATTTTTTTTTGCACCCATACTGTTGATTGCTAAATGTAATAGTCTAATTATGATGTTGAATAAATGTGTCTATTTTAAAAATAAAATAAGTAAAAGTTATAAGATTATTGTTGAGCAAGCTATTACCAATGGTGGATAGTTTTTTTTTTAACTCTATCAAATCCTTTTTTTTTTATTGGTTGTTCAAAACATTATGAAGTTCATGACATATCATCTTCCATACATTTGATTCAAGTGGGTTATGAACTCCCATTTTTTACCCCAAATACAAGTTGCAGAATCACATCGGTTACACATCCACATTCTTACATAATACCATATTAATGACTGTTGTATTCTGCTACCTTTCCTATCCCCTACTATCCCCCCTCCCCTTCCCTCTCATCTTCCCTCTCTACCCCATCTGCTGTTGTTTAATTCTCTCCCTTGGTTTTTTTTTCCCCTTTCCCCTCACAAACTCTTATATGTAATTTTGTGTAACAATGAGGGTCTCCTTCCATTTCCATATAGTTTCCCTTCTCTCTCTCTCCCTTTCTCTCCCCCCACTAGTCTCTGTTTAATGTTAATCTTTTCCTCGTGCTCTTCTTCCCTGTTCTGATCTTAGTTGCTCTCTTTATATCAAAGAAGACATTTGGCATTTGTTTTTTAAGGATTGGCTAGCTTCACTTAGCATAATCTGCTCTAATGCCATCCATTTCCCTGCAAAATCCATGATTTTGTCATTTTATAGTGCTGAGTAATACTCCATTGTGTATAAATGCCACAGTTTTTTAATCCATTCATCTATTGAAGGGCATCTAGGTTGATTCCAAAGTCTAGCTATTGTGAATTGTGCTGCTATGATCATTGATGTGGCAGTATCCCTATAGTATGCTCTTTTAAGGTCCTCAGGGAATAGACCGAAAAGGGCGATAGCTGGGTCAAATGGTGGTTCCATTCCCAGCTTTCCCAGGAATCTCCATACTGCTTTCCATATTGGCCACACCAATTTGCAGTTCCACCAGCAATGTACAAGTGTACCCTTTTCCCCACATCCTCTCCAGCACTTATTGTTGCTTGACTTCATAATGGCTGCCAATCTTACTGGAGTGAGATGGTATCTTAGGGTGGTTTTGATTTGCATTTCTCTGACTGCTAGAGATGGTGAGCATTTTTTCATGTACTTATTGATTGATTGTATGTCCTCCTCTGAGAAGTGTCTGTTCAGGTCCTTGGCCCATTTGTTGATAGGGTTATTTGTTATCTTATTGTTTAATTTTTTGAGTTCTTTGTATATTCTGGATATTAGGGCTCTATCTGAAGTGTGAGGAGTAAAAATTTGTTCCCAGGATGTAGGTTCCCTATTTACCTCTCTTATTGTTTCTCTTGCTGAGAAAAAACTTTTTAGTTTAAGTAAGTCCCATTTGTTTATTCTTGTATTTAACTCTTGGGCTATGGGCGTCCTATTCAGGAATTTGGAGCCCGACCCCACAATATGTAGGTCGGAGCCAACTTTTTCTTCTATCAGGTGCAGAGTCTCTGATTTGATATCTAGCTCCTTGAATGGTGGATAGTTTTATGAATAAATAAATTCTTACAGTTATTAATGAATATTAAATGTAATGATATTAAAGTTTCCTTAAACTTTAATGGTTCCTCAGGGGAACCATTTGTCTCATGTCAGTGAGACTTTTTTTTTTTTTGGTAGTTGTAGATGGACAGCATACCTTTATTTAATTTTTAGATGGTGCTAAGGATTGAACCCAGTGCTTCACACATGGTAGGCAAGCGCTCTGCCACTGTGCCGCAGTCTGGCTGGGCACAAATGCCGCAGTCTGGCTGGGCACACAATCACGAGCCACCACACAGCTTGTAGATTCAAACAGCAACTCTTTATTCCCGAACTCACACCAGCCGTCTACAATCACGTTCTGGGGAAATCCACGTTCTCTGCCCAAATCCACCTCCACTGGGCTTCTATCTCCAAAATATACTGTCTGAATCCCGTGAGAACTCAAGGGGAACTCAGGCAGCAGGATACGCCCTATTCCCAGCAGGAATAATCTTAAACCTTAAACCTGGAACCTAAACTGGGAACGCCCTAAACAAGATTATCTTAAAACCGGGAACACCCTAATCTGCCTTGGTCCTTGAGCAAGGTTAAGTACATTCAATGTCACTGCAACATGTCAGCAACATGGGGTACGCTGGCAAGGAAATTGTCATACCTACTTGGCTAATGGCTCCCAGCATCTCCCCCCTTCTGATTAATTAAACAACAAGCAATGTGGCTTAAGGACCGTGCCTGGTAGGTTGTCCAATTCAACATATGGTTCTTACCCGTCATGGGAAAAACTGACCTTTAGGCGTCAGCCTCCTGTCTTAGGTTGATACCACTGCAATTGAATCATACCCGTCACTGACTACCGGTCCAGCATACAGCCATACTTGTGGATAGGTCTATGCACCAGTGGGGGGGTGAGGTTCTTTGCCTCACCTCTGTTGGCCCCCAAATTTGGCCTTGGTGCCAGTGGGGGAGTGAGGTTAATGTGGCTTATGGACCGTGCCTGGTAGGTTGTCCAATTCAACATATGGTTCTTACCCGTCATCGGAAAACTGACCTTTAGGCGTCAGCCTCCTGTCTTAGGTTGATACCACTGCAATTGGATCATACCCGTCACTGACTACCGGTCCAGCATAAGCCATTGGCCCCCAAATTTTAGACCATCACTAGCAGAAGGGAGGAGGATACAGAAATGCCACGACACCAAGCCAATTGACGGCTCCTTGGGAAAAATTGCATCACTGGTGACACCATCAGCAAAGATATGTCCAGCATTACCACAATTGCGCTGCACCAAACGATAGTTACATAGTCCAGGCAAGTTCTGCAAGCAGTTCAAAGCAGAGGAATCTATCAATATGTCCATTTCCTCCCAAAATCCGTTTCCTCCCAAAGTAAGTTGACTCTTTGATTGAGCATTACTTGTTGAGTTCTTCACCGGCACTGGGATGGAGATAGGAATTCTGGCAATGATGCTAAAGAGACATTATCCTGAAAAGAATTATTAAATATAATGAAAAGGAAAGGTGAAAGTAAACAAACAGATCTGTTAACCTACTTTAAAAACAATCCTTAACAGCTTTTTACCTAATTTAAATTAGTAAACAAACAGATCTGTTAACCACCTTTAAAAACAATCCTTAACAGCTGTTTACATAATTTAAATTAAACCATTTAAATCACGTGAATAAAAAAATAATAATAATTCGGATCCATTTTTTCATGAGCGCTCCTCATATAAGAAATATGGACATACGCACATACAGACATACAACACAAAACACAAGAGTGTACACAAACGTACAACACATAAGAAAATAGTAAAGGCCTTGTAGCTTTACCTAGGTGAAATCTCCATTGCAATGTTTAAAAACTCCACAGTCAAAAAATAAAACTGATCAGAAAAACATTAACCTAGGTTTGTATGAGCTCAAAAAATAAAAATAGAACCTTATGATGTGGAAAAATGCAATAATAAAATAGCTATTGAAAAAAGCATCCTGGTTAATCACTGTCGCAGATGTAAGAATGGCCAAGCTGGAGTTCTGGATATCAGCTGTTATGGATTTGAGTCAAATCATCTTCTTTTCGATCTGTAGAAACTGTTTTAGTTAATCTCTCTGGAATCCAAATGGGCTGCTGTTCTCCCTGTGGAAAAACACAAACAAACCCCGACTCCAGACAATCACTGGGTCAGGACCTTTCCATTGTCCTGTTAGAATATCTTTCCAAAGTACCTTAGGCTTATGTACATTTTTTGGATACATATGTCTTTCCGCAGCACTAAGTCCTGATGAATCCAAATTTAAAAAGTTTAGTGTAAAAAGCGTTATTTTAAGTTTATCTTTGGGGGATATATACCCCCTTCCAATTCCCTCTTTTTGCTTTAATAAGTATGTCTGTATCTAATAGTTGTCTTAGCTTTTTGCATTTTCTATCTGTAATACCTTACTTGATATTTTCAACCATTTTTTATCTTATTTCTATCTTCTAGTTTTTTTTTTTTTAAGGTTTGTATTTTTACCCTTAGTTGCTTATTTTCCTCCTAGTTTTTTTTCTTTTCCCTATTTTGTGGGTTTAAAATTCTTGTCTTCCTACATTTTTTTATCTTTCTACATCTTCTTTATCTTTTTTCTTTTTAACTTTCTATACTTCTGTCTTTAAAGTTTTTCACTTTAAATTTTTAATCTTCTTTATCTAAATATCTTTTATCCTATTATCTTCCCATTTTTTTTAAAGTAATGCCTTTAAGATTAAGCTTCTTTCCTCCATCATGAAGGCATTTTAACCACCTTCAATTTAACCTTTTAAAGCCTTTTAATTATCATCTATACTGTACTTTTAAATGTACTTTTTCACCACCTACAGCTTCACTCTTTTAAACGAGGCTTAGATTTTGTTTAAATCGCTTCAATGTTAGTTTACATGGCTGCCCTTCAACCAAAGGCTTTTTTTTTTAACTCCATTGAGAAGCTTTGTCTCAATCTGCCATGTACAAATACCTTTTTCTTCTTTCTTCCTTTCTCAAGCTTTTAAAGTAAGTCTAGTTTCCTCAAAATCTTTTTAAATGGCATTTTACAACTTTTTACTTTACCACACAGAGATTATCTCATCTAGAAACATTTCTTTTTCCTTTAACCTTTTATATTAAAATATATTTCCACATCTTGAATCTTTTTCTATCTCTTTTTTAACCGTTAACCCTTTTTATAAATTCACATTTTGAAACAACTCTTATAAAATTTCTGATTTAGACAAATTACTCCACTTTAATAAGATGAAAGACTTTCATGTTTCTTATGACACTATAATACTATAATTGAAACCCAACTGAAAATTTTTCTACTCTTTGTATATAAATTACACATGATAGAATCTTAACACTTAGTAACCTTGTTTTAGCAAAGACACAGACACAAAGCAATATTAAACCTTTTTCCATTTACCAATTTAGGAAAACACACATAATGTTTAAATATATTACCTTATGGAACTTAATAAGTAAAGAGTACTTGATTTCATATTTAGTGGTTGATATTTTAACACTTTAGCTTTGTAAATTAATCAGATGTCTGTAAA